ATATACACACACACACACACACACTACATACATATACATATATATATATATATATATATTATATATATATATATATATATATATATATGTATATATTTATATATATACATATATATATATAATATATATATATATGTGTGTGTGTGTGTGTGTGTGTGTGTGTGTGTGTGTGTGTGTGTGTGTGTGTGTGTGTGTGTGTGTGTGTGTGTGTGTGTGTGTGTGGTCGGTGTGTGTGTGTGTGTGTTGTATATATATTTATATATTATATATATTATATATATAATATATATATATATATATATATATATATATATATATATATATATACAAACACACACAGGCGTATCTACAAATATAAATGCACATACATGCATATATATATACATATATATACATACATATACATACATACATATATACATATATATATATATATATATATATATATATATAGAGAGAGAGAGAGAGAGAGAGAGAGAGAGAGAGAGAGAGAGAGAGAGAGAGAGAGAGAGAGAGAGAACATACATATATACATACATACATATATATATATATATATATATATATATATATAATATATATATATATATATATATATATATAATATATATGCATATATTTTCATGTTTCCATATATGCATGTATTTGTATGTATCTGTAGATATATTACTGTCAGATAGATAGGTAGATAAACAGAGAGATAAATAGAAAGATAGATATGTAAACACATATATTTACATAAATATACATACATACATATATATACATTTACAAATATAAATACAAATATACACATATCTATCCGATCATACTATATATATATATATATATATATATATAGTATATATATATATATATATATATATATATATATATAAATATGTATGTATAATATATATATATATATATATAATATATGTATATAATAATATATATATATATATAATATATATAAACATATATATATACATATATAATACATATTATATATATATTATATATATATAACTATAAATATAAATAGTATTACATATATATATATATATATAATATATATAAATAGATATAAACTGTTTGTGTTTGTTATGCATTATGTATATAAGTATGTATGCATGTATGTATTGCATGTATTTCTGTGTATACTCATTACATATTATACATATACAGACATACCACACAATTGATGGTGTGTTTGCTGTGTATACAGACAAGGNGAGAGAGAGAGAGAGAGAGAGAGAGAGAGAGAGAACACAATGGAGAAAGACTGATTAAAGGAGAGACCCATATAAAAAGGAAGAGAATGTTTGAAAGACAAAGAGAGAAAAATAGAAAAAAGTAAAAACGAAAACTACAAGACAATAAGAAAGACGAGAAGAGAAAAGACAAAGACTGGAATGAAATAAAAAAGACAATGTTTAAATCCCTTTACCCCCAAAATAAATAAAATTGAACACATACAAAAAAATAATAATGATAATAAAACTCAATTATGTCCCTCAGAAATATTTCAAAATAATCTAAAAAATGATGTACAATAATCAGAAAACTTAAAAATAACCACAAAACCTTTCTCACCTTCCTCACTGTCCACCTCCTCCTCCTCCTCCTCCCCTTCTCCTTCACTGTCGTCGTCATCATCATCTCCATCCTCTTCCCCTTCGTCCCCACTTCCATCTTCCTCATCGTCACTTTCCCCTTCTACCTCTTCTTCCCCTTCCTCTCCATCCTCTTCCCCTTCCTCGTCCTCATCTTCCGATCCGTCAGACTCCGACTCTGATCCAGACTCGGACTCGGAGTCAACTGCCCGCTTGCGCTTAGGGGCCCGGGTCACCAAGTCGTCTTCGTCATCGGAATCGTTGTCGCCGCCGTCCTTGATGTCACGGTTGGTCTCCTCCTTGTACATCTCGGACAGCTGGAATTGCAGGATATTGGTTAGTGCAATTGATTTTTTATTTTTTTTATTATTCCTTTAACATCTCTCACTTTATAAAACCAGCTTTGTTTCTTTTACACTCAATGTGATGTATTGTAGAAGAAGAAAACAGCAAGATAATCTTGAGCTTCACTGACTGAAGCATGTGCATTTCAACCCTACTGCATATTGTAATTCCTGTGATGGAAGACCTACAAGCTGAAATGCAACCAAACAGTGGTGGAATGTCAAATCACCACCACGGGTGTATTATCAAGATTTACATAAAGCTGTCTGACAGTATTAAATGTATCAACTGCTCTTCCTACCTCTGTGTTTGCAGCACTCAAGCAAATTTATTCAGGCACAATAAAGCTAGGACTGGTTCCTAATATGACATTACATTCAAAAAATAGACATGACCAAAGTAAGTGACTTTTAAAGATGTTCTACCTTTCACCTGTACATGTTTTTATCTTATTTCATATATATTATGGTTAGACAAGTCCAAATGCCACTAACAGAATATATGGAAATAATGGGTTAACAGGCAGAGGTTAAGAAGATCCTGTCAAACTTTGAGACTGTAGGCCTTCTAAACGGATCACTGCAAGCTTCACGTGGATTTAGATAGAACAGAGGTAATACAGTTATGGTACTTATAAGAGGCTGTTAGCAAGTTCAGTGAATTCTGAATTATATACTTAATTTTCAATTTGCAAAGACTGCATCAACGAAGAGAAATGAGAGAATTCTTCAATTTACAGGCCCCTTGAACTATTCACCTTATTACACAAAGAGTACATCCAAAATTATACTTCTGTCAAACTGCATTTCCTTAGTATATTTTATCAAACCCATGCAATCACAGCATTATCTCTATTAGGTCTTCTACATCTACAGAAATATGGGATATCAAACCATAATCCTAAAAGTATACAATACCTTTAATTTAAAACAAAAAAACTCTTCTCCAATATGCTCACTTCATAAAACGAAATTACTCATCTGATGCAATAATCATTCGGGATAAAATTCTATGCATACTTGAAAAACTCACTCCGTTCTTACACAACCCTCACAAGCAAAGTATATCCAGTCAATACATACTCCCAAACACAGGACCATACAGTACACCACTAGTCTTCCCCAGAATCAAACAAAGAAAGTCTGCAATATGTCAAATAAATCATAACAGGGACCACTTTCCACAACAAGCCCCGGGTCTCTGCCTCTCTCAGCATACCCACAGACACAACACAACCAAGCTGTTTGTGCACTGAGCTTCCACAGACACCAACGGCATTTAAATACCCACGTTAACGCAACATACATGCATCTAAGCATCCCATAATACTGCAGTAAGCCCGAATTCCTGGCCAATTCATCTGAAAACTACTGAAATACACATCTTTTCCGAAATCAAACCTCTCGAGGGGTCACAAACACCTAACAAACTCAAACCTCGACACTAAAGCCCGTAACTCTGCAACTAACACAAACTCTTCCACACAACCCAACAAGGCAAGAAACACACTCCATTAGGAATCTCTCGCACCTCAAAGTCATAAAACAAGCCTAACAACAACAATAAGCGAAAGGAGGTCTTTAAATACGAGGTTCCGCCCCTGTAACAAACACTAACATGACATTTGCTTTGTTTCGTTTGTACTTTTTGGACGTTTCCCCCCCGATTATGGCTTCCCTCGGTGCTCACTAAATAACCAATCCAGATAATAACTCATCACAAAGCCTGGGCCGGGAGGTTGCAAGGACCAGAAAATATTTGCAGCAAAGATTGGCAGCCGAAAAGACAGCTTCCCTAAGCAAAACAATCAGATCAATCCAATGGACGCCCGTTTATGTCGGACGAACTGACGCCAACGACACCTAATTTACACACCCGAATATACGGTTCCTGTCCTGTAAGATGAAGGAGGCGGTGATAGTCCTAGTTCTCTTAGTATTTCACCATGTAAAGATAAACAACGGATTCTCTCATAATTGGAAGTCGGCGTCGGCCATTTCTGGGGGTCGTAAGTTCCACTGAAGAAAGCGGAAGTCTTTAAAAAATATTTATTTTTTTCTTTATTTGTCACTTATGTATACTGCCTGCTAGAAATATTCAGGTTTATCAATTTGTTATTTATATTAATGAAAAAACACTGTGGTGTAATAAGACTCTTGATTTCATGAAGAATTTCACCTGTCAAATGACAGCGAAAAATATTTGGAACACCAGGGTTTAGGAAAGCATCTGCTGTAAAACAAGTAATATTTTTATCATTAAAAGTTTGTTTGTGAATATGATGATGACAAGAAACCTTAAACGTAATTGATATATTTTGTTGAAAAATAGCAATACAAATCTCGTAGCCACATTTAGGAAATATGACTCAGTGCCTGATAGGGTTATTACTCCAACAGAATATAAATAAAAAGCTGGAAAAACATCCCAAACTCTCATAAAAATATAAGAGCCTTTTTTAATTAAACATAGATAGTTTATGCCATTCTCTCTTTAAAATAAATTTCGAACATAATAGCATTTAGCAAATGCATCAAGACATTATTGGAACCTGGTGCCAGCGTTACCAACTTAGCGCTAAATATAGCAAATCTGTTGATTAGGTCATTTTCTTTCGAATTTCACACATTTTGATGACCCTTTGGCCACTTCTTATGGACAAGGATTATCTATGCTTCTTTATTCTTTTTAAATAGAAAGAAATCAAGTAGCTAATGATTGCATGATAATGTGATAACGTGGGATCGACAGATAACATTTGTTTAATTTTCTATTCACAATACACTTTGACTTTTAACAGGTTAATATTTTATTTATCGTTTGAGCATACATAGATTTTTTTGCTTGCTAAAGGTGTATTGCAATTTATGACTGATTTGAATAGTTACAAGGTGGTATGTATAATGTATATAATACCTCCTAAACACTATATGATAACTACTATTTGATCTATCTTAAACTATGCTCGCATAATATTGTATTTAATGAGGCACAATTTCTAAACAAAAGTCACATTTCAATCTCCCGAAAAAAATACAAGTTAAGCGCTTTTCTAGCACCTTCCGGAGTCTAGCGCCCCGAGCGAGCTCTTCTTGGCAACGCTGAGATTAACGCAGCTCCTTCTTTCTCCGGAGGTTCGGTCTCTCATTAGGTCCGCGTGGAAACCTCACCACACATTTTTTCGCCATGGGTCGCATGCACAGTGGAGGGTGAGTGTTTTATGCTTTCCTAACCGTGGATGGGATTGTAATGAAGGCGAGGGATAAGATTTTCAAGGGTTTGGATCCGTATTTTAATCACATTAGCCCGAAAAATGGCGTTGTTTACCCGACTTTTCCGGAGGAGGGAACCACCACGTGAATACCCGGGGATGATAAACACGGCCGTTGAAATTCGGTTCCAGACTGCGTCCTAATCTCTCCCCCTCCTCTCTCCCTCCCGCAGAAAGGGTATTTCCCAGTCATCCCTGCCATACCGTCGCTCAGTCCCCAACTGGCTGAAGCTAACCAAGGAAGACGTCGAGGAACAGATCATCAAGCTCGCCAAGAAGGGCCTCACTCCCTCCCAGATCGGTAAGGCTCTCGAATTGCGTTTTTAAGGGTGGTTGGGCTTTCAGCTGGCCTATCTTGTAGGGCTTGTGGAGTTTTTGTAGAGTTGGCGATGTAAATTTGCGGGTTCTGTTGCCACTAGGTGTAAGGTGGGTGGGTAAAAATTCAAGTGCAAATGCGTATGTTTTGCATAACGTGGGCCGTGGTACGTGTGTGAACTGAAGTGCTTTGTGGAACTGGAAATGCAATGAGAAATTCGAAGACCGAAAATGGAACATTTCTGAGGAAAGAACTTGCATATACAGTGGCATGTGGTTTATGCATACAGCAAAGCCTTTGAATGTGATTAAGACCTCTCTTGGCTTGAATTAGCAAGGGTAAATGTTTAGAATATGTTCACATAACCAATTGCAATTTTTGTATGGATGGATTTTCCTTTACTGCACTTGTAGGAATCAAGCAGTGGAACCCCCAGAAACCACCACATTTTTGGCCCTAGCAGGGGAGGGCCTGGAAGGTACTAAGAAAATTGTAGTGTAAATATGAAGTACATACAAAATGTCACTGATTACACATTCAAAATAAGTTTTGTACAATGGAGGAGGCTCTGCTGTCCTGTGACCCCCACCGAATTCATGGCAGGGTAGTGTATGACTTGCGTGCAGGTGCGCCTGATGTCTGATCTACACATTATCCTTCCGCACAGAGGTGATGGATCCTTAGTTGTCCAGGACCGGGGGTTGGGGGCAGCAACCCCACATGGGAGGCTGGCTGTTCCTCATGCATATGACTATATATTGACCAATTCTGTATGTTATTCATTACTTACCCCTGAATTTCCCTGTTACCATTGTTGCCCTCGCCTGCTTTTGGATTGTGGGTGATGGAGGTTTCCCCTGACATTATTTCTATATATTTGGGTGGTAGTGAGAATATTCCATAAATACTGCTATCATTGTGATTGATTAGGTGAAGGTACTCTGAATATTTACATTAATTTGGTAACTTTAACTTCATAACTAGTTGACTTCAAGGAATTACAAATGGATGCTCCAGGAAATGTATATGGTTTCTGATCTTGAGTAAATGTATTAAAGTGCAGTGAATTTAAATCATTCAGGTGCCTGAAAGAATGAGCAAAAACAAAAGCCAGAGCATTTCAAGTCCAGCCAAGTCATGCAGTGGCAGGAATGTTTAGGCACTGTTTTGAAATAGTTCTTGATTGCCAGGGAGGCCTTGTAAGCCAGCAGAAAATGGGTATCTGTTACCAGGGTATCGTATGAACCCAAAACCAAAGCATAACCTTTCCTACCTTCTATTTATTCCCTAGACAGGAGGGGCAAGGTCCTGCTCCCCCCCTTTATTGGCACTTTGTGCCAACGTATAGAAAATAGATGCTAAGAATTGCCTGTATGAAAGTGTTGTGGACTTGGTCTCTGAGTGGTGATATGCAGTTAGTATATTCATTTTTTCTGTAAATATGAGGTTACAGTAGCTGTACCTGTGTGTAGGACTCCATTTTTTATGCTCTGTAAGATGCCGGCATCCATTTTCCTCAATCTGTGCGATGCACAATTATTAAGGAAAATGGATAGTGCAAAGAAAGGCAGCTTTATTTTTGATAACAGTATTGTGCACATAATTATTGAGATGGAATGTGCTAATGCTTTACGGTACGGATAAACTTTTTAGTTACAGACCAACTCTCACAAAATTTAATCAGAAGTTCCTCTGATTGGATATCTTTTTCATTTATTTGTGGCATTACTGTTCATTTTGGCAGATTATTTCATGGTTAATTGTTACTGAGAGTGATGAACCAACCAAAAACTAAATCCCAAAAGCAGGGTATCCTGCAAACCCAAACACCCAACCTAACCTTTCCTACCTTCTATTTATTCTCTAGACCAGGTCCCCCCCCCCCCCCATATTAGCACTTCATGCCACCTATAGAAAAACGGACATTAAGACTCTGGCTGTGTGAGGATGATGTGGACTTAATCTGAGCGGTGATATGCAGTGAATGTTCATGTCATGCTAAAATGTGAGGCCGTTGCAGCTTTAAACTGTCATCCATTTCTCTCTATCTCAGTGTTGCCTCCTATAACCTATACCATTTCTTGTACCAATGGCTGCAATTTTGTCCACTTTGTCCTCTAAGACTCTTCAATTTGGACTGATTGTTAATCTTCACAGTATGGATGCACTCAGGACATCTGACACTGACACTTCTCTTAACCCCTTGGATCCGATTGCATGATAGAAATCATGGAGCTGAAAACCCCAGGCAATGGTTATGCATGGCCAACATCCTGGGTGTGCAGCGTGTAGGCCAGGCACGCACGGACACCCATGAGCGGTGACAACTTTGTGCCTCCCTTTTGAAAATTTATTTTGTGTGAACTATTTTAGCTTTATCGCTATTTTCCAATGTCCATATGTCTTTTGGTTTGTCTTATGCAGATGGTAATTACTTATTTTCCTTGCACAGACTCCATATCTCTGTAGTAAATAGTTCACTGCAAGAGAGAAGAAATAAAACATTTGGTTATTTGTCATCTTCTTTTTTTTGTAATTTTCAATTTTACACAATACAACCTGCACCACTGGTCAGTGGCCAGGAATCCGGTGCACAGCATAGAAATGACATCCTCCCTGGAGCTGGTGCTCTTCCAGGCACTGCTTATGCTCGTTATATTCCACATTCGTTTATCGTTAGGAATAATGTTAAAGCCCCCTTGTAAGTGCCAAACGAGTTGAATCGCACTCCAAGAGGTTTGTTCATTCATGGCGAGTCTTTACCATCACCCTTACAGCACTCATGACGACAGTTTGGGCCACCCGGGCCATGGCCAGTTTGCCTTAGTTGATGGCATGTTCACATCACCCGGGCAGCTGCCCAAGTTTTTCCTTGATGTGACTGCAACATCATCCAGGTCCAAAGGGTTAAGATGTACATATATTGAACAAATGAAGCCTAACTAGTATAACTTCCTAATGCACCTCAGTGAGTGCACCACACACAGTATTATTGCAAGGTATTACTTTGACTAGTTCCTTAAAATAAATCAGAGGTCATTTCATCAGAATATCCAATTGCTTTTTTCATCCTTTACCAAGTGTCTTGCTTGTCTTTACATGTCTAGAATAGAATGGCGTGAAACAATGTCATGGCCTAAATAATCTTGAAGAAGCTGACCAACCCTGTCCCAGATATATTTGGCAAGACAAGAGCTAGGACTAGTTCCTTCTTTGCAAATGAATTGCAAGGGATGTCTGCAAACCCTACTGACAATGTGCAAGATGGGTTACTGTTACTGGAGTGAGGTGTTAGGCTGCATTATCAGTGCACTTCAAATTGCAAATTAGGTTAAAGGATTGTAGCATTACTTTTACTTTGTGGAATTATATTTACAGCAAGTAGTAATTTGTTCCTAATGGCCCTAACCTTAGTTATCTACTCTAATTCTGGGCAGTTATCCTATTCTTGAACAGCTTCCCCAAATTTAATTGTATATATCTCCAATTATATAGTAGCTAGTAGCTGTTTGTAGTGATATTGCATATAAACAAATTGATATAGATTTCACATTTTGTAAAATAGATAGATAGATAAAAAAGTAATTAAAAAAAGATAAAGGCAGTGTCCAGAATCAAGTATTACAAATGTAGAGTTTACATATCGTGTTCTCTTTGCTTTTAAATTTGTTTGTAGCTAATGAGATCCATTAAATTTAATCCAAGCAGTTGTTTTGTTGAGAGGGATGATAGCCATTTTTGTGTTTTTACACATTGAATATTACAATATTCCAATTTTTCTTGTTCTATTTTTTGATAAATGTAAGTGGAAGTTGAGATGTTGCATTTTTAATTCATACGTAATTTGCACCATTAAAAGTTTAAAAGTTGAGTGCTCGTAATGTATGCTATGGTAGTCCCATTAAAAAGGAAATGTGAATTTGTGAATATATTCCTGTGTACATACAATATAGATATTTGATAGAATGTGTAGTTTAGAAAAATTCAGTTTCACTTATATGAAATGTATAGTGTTAGATAAGTTCACTTGATTTTTGTTGATATGATGTAAAGATAAAACTCATTGAATCTTTAATATGCTATTCTTAAAGGTACAAGTTTATCAAAATAGGTTTTGTTTGTCAGTAATAAATATTTAACATTAAAAGCAAAGATTCAGACAAGTGTTTTCTTGTATTTTTTTGTGTATATTTATGAAAATATTTTCTTCCAGGTGTCCTGCTCCGAGATAGCCATGGTGTCGCCCAGGTGCGCTTTGTCACAGGCCAACAAGGTTCTGCGTGTGCTGAAGGCCAAGGTCTGGCTCCTGATATCCCTGAGGATGTATCACCTTATCAAGAAGGCTGTTGCCATCAGGAAGCATCTTGAGAGGACAAGGTAAGAATCAAATGTATGAATGTAATGCCTGAAATGCAATCTAATCTTCTTGCAAACGAGCTACACAGTTGAAACCAGACTTCGGCTGTATTTATTATACATTTATTATTTCCATGGATATTCTAGTGCTTTCCTCTGTGGATAGTTCCCTGTGGATCAGAAACAAAAGGTTTTCTCTTCTTAACACTTATCACCATTTCTGTTTCATTGTCCACATTTTTATACAAAGCTTCATAGAGCCAGTTAATTGGTTCGAGAACATGCCTAATGTATCTTTTTCTTTGTCACTTTCAGGAAGACCGTGACGCCAAGTTCAGGCTTATTCTTGTAGAGTCCCGTATTCACCGTCTTGGCCGTTACTACAAGTCCCGTGCAGTCTTGGCCCCCAACTGGAAATATGAGTCATCTACTGCCTCCGCTCTTGTTGCGTAAATAAAGTTTAGACAAGTGTTTCAAGCTTTTTGTGTAACCTTTTCATTCTTTCAAACAAGAAATACCTTTTGCTAAGGCTTGTACAGTAGTATTGGGTTTTATAAATGTTTTCCTGTTAAAGGAATATCTGATTGTGAATGTTATTTAGCAGATACATCCTTTACCGTTAAGTATTTTCCAATCGAACTATACAAGACAAAATGTTAAATAAAGAATATTATGGATTTGCATTATGCTTATACTACCTGGAATCTGCAATGTGAATAGCAGAATAATACAATGGTGCAAAGGTATAAAAACCATGAGAAGACAGCTTTGAAAATCTGATGCAAAGTAGAAGCCTACTCTAATCCTTATTGGGCTGTGACACTGTACACATTTAAACCAACGTTTTCAGAATTAGCACGTCACTCAAGTTGGTCTTTCATCTGGTATAAAAAGATTCAGCCAGCTTGAACTGTGCTCCCTTTTGTATAATGAAGAAATGGATTGACCAGTACTTCTAAATTTTTATATGTAGGGTCAATAACCCCTTAACAAGACTGAAGGACTGTTGGGATATCTTTGGACCTCAGACCTCGGCTCAACCAATTTTGAAGGTCTTTTATTCCACTTCCTGTTCTCCAACCCCTTCTGTCCACTTCCAAAGATGTGAAAGGGATAAAAGGCTGGGTTTGGGTCAAGTTGTCGTTGCTCTCGTGGGGTGGGGGCTTAAGACACTGAGACAGGCCCAATGTAGGGGATCACCCCTATCTTGGACATCAGCACTTCCCTCAACTAATTTTGCATTGTCTCGTCTTCTCCACCTTACTTTTCCTCTCTCTTCATCCCCTTCTATGCCACTTCCTAAGATGTGAAAGCCACACTGAAAGATGAAAGGCTGGCTTTGTCTCAGTCCTGAACAGCTCTTGTACTCCGTTTGCTTCCCTCTTTATCCTTTTCACTACCATACTAACCTACAGTGCTCTACAACCTTTGACTTCAACACGTTTCCTAATTGCAAATTCATTTTCATCTTTTTGCCGCAATACTTTGTCATAATGCTGTATGACCTTTCCTTACCTTCTACCCAAAATATTCCTACATCTCCCTCAGTATCTCTTCCTCTTACTCCTTTTCTCAGCCAATTTGTTTACCCATTCTAAATCCAGACACTCCAATCTCACTTCCCCAGTACATATTTCCTCCCTCCTCGCTCACTTTTTAACATCGGACAATCTAAAACGTTCCACTCCATCTCCTACTGCATCCTCTCCAACACCCACCTCTTCCTCTGCCCCTTTAACAATCTGTCCCTTCTTTTCCCCCCATATAGATAATCTTCGTTTTCTCAGACCTCCCCAATCAAGCTATCTAATCATGGCCCAAGATAACATGCCTAACCCATCCATCCTCCAAACCCTCCTCTCCCATTCTCGACACTCAAAGTGACTGCCAACGTCCATCCTCCTCGTTCCTCTCCCTCCCTCCCCAACACCTACCATCCTCTTGTTTCATCTGCATCACCACCTCCCCCGTTCTTTCCCTGGTTATCCTTTTCCACTCCCATAGATACACAAATGTGACTCGTCGCAATACCGTTCACTGGATCCTCCCCGTCCTGACATTTCTCCTGAAACTGCTTTATGATCTATCGCCCTTAACCTTCCTTTCCCCCCTTTTGCCTTCCCTCCATACCTCCTTGACAACTTTCCCCTCCTCAGACGCATGCATATCCTCCATTTGCTAATCCTTTCCTTAACCCATTTATACACGCCCATTCTAACCCCTTTTTAACCCTTTCAATACCATGCTATCTTCAACTCCTGTACTCTTACTTGTGACTATTGTTCCTTGACTTTTTCGCCACCACACCTTCCTTTAGTGATAGATGAACTTTGATGTTTAGCCATTTAATTTGCTTGTATAACCATTAACCATTCGGAAAAAGATATGAATCCATCTCGTGTTCCGATTAAATTCACACAGCGCTCGGAACTGCTTTCCAGCTCGGACAGATGACTTGTTAAAGGTCAATTCACACACAGTAGCTTATCCATGCTGTGTTAGTCCAGTAAATGCGAAATCCGTGACGCTTCAGTAACGTCTTTTCACACATCCGTAGTGACTCCCGTGACGAGGTGGAACGCTGTGAACATAAGCTGAAAAAGAAAATAGGCTCATG